CGTTACGAACAACGTTCAATTGGTTGGGTTTCTAAATTATTTCATTTTTTTATCTGTACAAAACAAAATCTTGTTATATTAACTATAAACAAAAAAAATTTTAATTTGAATCTCTGGACTATTTTAGGTGTCAAATGGATATTTTTGGTAATACAATCCCAATATTTTTTAAATCAACATAAATCAGCATTATTATAGTATTAAGAAATGTGATGCCTGTTTATTAAGATTTATAAGGTTATTACTGAAAATTTATTTAAAAAATTTATTGTTTAGCTTTGATACAACATATTGCTAACAGCTTGACAAGATGTTAACATATTTTCAACAAAATAACTATTATCAGTTATTAGAAAATCTCAGGTATGGAGTTATATAAATACATTTCAAATATTTATATTACAATATAGATATCCAAAGTTATACTTTATAGAGGAAAAGTTCTTTTTTTTCAAAGTCGTGAATATTCTTCTTGTAAACAGGACATATTTTGTCGTATAAAATAGTGGTTAATGGGTGTGTCATGTTTATTAGAAAAATAGAATTGAATGGTGCAACTAAGAAACTCTCTTAAGCATAGGCGTAACTAGGTGGGTCGGGTGACAAGGAGAATGAAGAATTAGCCCCTAACTGGCTATACAGAAAATATATCTGCCAATAGTCATAATTGACAATAAATACTGCGTATATGTGAATAGCAACATCATAAAAAACATTAGCTAGCTGAATTTTTAATATTTCATATATTATACATATTTATTAATTTAAACATTTCAAATTTTAATTATTTCATTTAATAATAGAATAAAGTGATATTAAAAAATTAGATGTCATTTGCTATTAAAATAAAACCTCAAACATTTTATTAAAATAAAAATATGTGTTTAAAAAAACATAATTGACATCTAGCATAAGCATAAAAAATGAACTTAAAAAAAAATACATAGCTCATAATACAAGAATGATATGTAACTAAAGGTAACCAAAAAAATAAATGTTGAATTATTTTTATCTGTGAGTAGATGAGTGCGTTATGATAAAAAAATAACTCTGTATTAGATGTTATTGATAATATTCTAAATAGTATAATAATGTATATAATGATTTTTAATTAAATTTTTTGTGTATTAAAATACTTTAACCACTATAACTATCATTAATCTACATTTATTTTTACAATTTATGAATTTTGATAATTATTGTTATGTGATCAAATATTCAATAAATTTTATTTACAATTAATTAGCTAAGTCTTGGTTAGTAAAGAACTGATTTATCGTATTTTATTTATTTTCTAAATATACTTAGGAAAAGTCATTTTCTAGCAATATACGGCAATTGAGATTTTAAGCAGTCAGTAATGATGTGATTTATTATGAGAATGTACCACAAATTGGTACTTTAACTTTTAAAATAAGGAATAAATAACTCAGATAGTTTTATCCAATTCTCGTTCGAATGATAATGATCTCTTCATAATCAAGTAATGTATTTATGGGCAAATAGCATTTTATCATATTTTTAAGAACACATGGAGTTTATAATACAATAAAATAGCTAAATTTCTCTATTGTAGCAATATTTTATTTATATTTTTATTGAATAACTAATAAAATCTTAAATCTTAATTATTACTATATATAGTGAGAAATAAGATAGATGTTATTTAAATATTTACAAACAACTATGCGAACATTTTGATTAAATGCAATAAATATATGACATAATGAATGTTGAATACTGAGTGATCGGTTTATCATAAATCACTCGATTAATCGTAGAATAAATACAATATTGGAAAACACATAATTTATTTTTTTAGTTAGCGTTTCTAAATATATATTTAAAAAACAAAGTTTATTTACAATATGTAAATCACAAATAAATTACCTATTAACAAGTTTTTGTTTTACCATATGTATTTTGTCCAGTTACAATAGGACGCAAGTACAAAAAAAATTTTAATTGATTAGAAATTATAGCTAATAATTAGCAAAATTTAAGCCAATCTAAAATAAATATAAAAATACAATATTGCCAAGAAATATATCGAGCACAACTTTTAAATATTTCATAAATGTGTTATTCTAACATTTTAGACATACCACGTTCAATATCTAATTAATCTTACTAAATAATAATATGAAAAATTATTTTAATGAAACAATGATACGATGTCATCTTTGAGTAATAATAACTAACATAGTCCCAGTGTTTTGTAACTGTTTTATAGGCTAATAATGCTTTATTTAATCATTTTGTATTTAGCGTTGATAATGGTAACATAAATCCTGAAATACGTATCCGCAATTTTTTTAATAACTTCTATGGCTTTTAGAGTAGAATATTTTTAATATATTTTTAGTTATAAATAAATAATTTTAATATAATTTCAATTTTAAATAATATTAACCATAAGTGATCTTTTATTATAATATTTTACAAGGTTATAAAGAATATATATTAAAGTTATAAAAAATTGTCTAAAAAATAAATAGTTATTACACAATTATTTACATGAAAACTAAATTACCTGTTTCATAAAAATCCTAATTATCTTTAGTAACTACAATGACAATAACTATAAAACAACAATTATAATTATACTAAATTTATTAGGTAATATATGTAAACAATATATTGTTGAAAGATCGAGTTGATTCAATACAGTAGTCATTTAATTAATAAAAATTTGCAATATTTAAAATTCAGTATGAACCGCAAACATTTCTTTTTATGTTCTATGATTGTAATTTTTAAAACAGTGTCAGGAGATTTTATAAGAGTGATGGACAGACCAAATCTTGCAGCCGTAGGTTATCAAAAATTAAATCAATCCTATACAAGCATTTAGTTAATAAAAATATAAAAACTATAACGCTGTAACTTATAATTGGAATTTCAGGGAAAATATAAATTAGTATTTAAAGCAGTCTTTCCTTGTAATAGAAGTAATACTTATCCTATAAATTTTAATTGGTATTTATCAAAAGTTACTGCAACAAAGAGTGTATTAAAGGGAAATACTACATTACATATCGAATTTAATGATAATTTGTATGTAAGTTTCTATATTTAAGCAATTTAATCTGTATCAATTTAAATAAAAATATATAATTTTTGAATTTAGTTCAATATAAATATGGCTATTTGGTCAAAAATTGGTGGATGGGTAGACAATGCATTTGTTTATAAAAACAAAGATGCATGTTCCACTTTAAAATCGTTTATGGGAAAAATATGGAATGATTTTTGTACAAAAGGGAACTTTAAAGGTTGCCCGATAATTCCAGTAAGTGGAAAATTAACATTATATGTAATTTATGTTTTCTAATTTTAAATAATTGTAAGAATTTAAATATGTTTGATTTTTTAAGAAAACATGAACATATATGATTATAAATAAAATTAGATTATAATCATATTTTTAATTATAAATGTTTGTAAAATATGACCAAACAATGCGTTACAATCTCAGTACATAGGTATCAAAGTTTGATTTGGTTTCATTAATCTGTACTGATTTTCCTTCCTCTAATTTACTTTCTCGGAAAAAATTATATTATAGTATATATTTTTTGTTACTATTTTAGAAAATTGTTCAATTTGCCAGGTATTATATATGTATTGATATTATTTTTAATATTTTATTAAAATGCATTTAAGTTTCAAACTTTTAGTTTATTTAATATATTTTCATTGCAGGGGATTTATATAATGGATGGATTTGATTTGTCATTAATTGAACAGTCTAATTTCCCAAAGGAGTTTTTTTATGGAACTTACAAGTTTAAGTTATTTTACACAAATAAAAATAATGACATGATTGGTTGTCTGTGTTTAGTAATTGATATAAAAAGACCATGGGAATAGATCTTTTATCTAAATTCAATTATAATTATTTGTTTAAACATGTATGATAACAAGTTTAGATGGAATATTATTTCTAATTTGATACATTAGAGATTTTACAAAAAGTAATGAATAAAAAAAATCAAATTACTATTATATCACTATCTATGAAATGTGTTTTTTCTATATATTTAAAAAGATATTTTCGAGTAATTTGTCTCCCTTACACAGTTATTAGTAGTATTAAAATAGTAATTTTATATAAATATATTTTCTTGCATTATTTATTCATGATTTTGTTAAGAAAATTTATTTAAAGTTTATTAACAAGTATGTGAACATTGTGTATATTGTATAATAGACAGTTAAATTCCATGTAACTTGGACAATTTTTATTTTTTGGACTCACGTAAATCACCTTTATAATTCAGATACTTTTTTAATCACTAAATAAATATTACGTTTTTTTGTTGAATAAAATTAAAAATATTTGAAAAATAGTACTTCTTACAAACTAAAAAACATCAACGTGAAAACTTAATTTCGATGGTCATCTAAATAACAATTTCGTGTCTCACACTTGAGTCTGCAATGAGTATACACAAAAGAGTTGATAGATGTATGTTAGGTCATCGTAGGTTACACCATTTCAAAGCAGTTGTTTCTACTACTACAGAGGTTGAACCCTTCTGGCCACGATGACCGGCACTGTTGTCTCTCTCCACAAATCGTGCTGTATATCTTATACATAACATCATATATAGAGCGATTAAGGTGTTAGGTGTAACGACACGATTACAAATATATAATAAACTTATGAATAAGGTGGTAGTGGTATTCCAATTAAATAAAGACTATAATATATTGATTAATTTTGAGATTTAATTATTATTTGGTCCACGAAATATCATTCACTATACGTGACTATTTTAATTATTCATTGTAGGCTAGATTTTGTAACAATATTACCAGCAATGTAACAATCGTTTTTAACAAAAAAAAATTGTCTGCATATATTAAATATATGTAGACTATATATTATACTTAAATCGTTTTATATCTATAAAACGATTTAATAATTGATAGTTCTAATAACTTATTTATAACAAGAAATATTTGAATGAATTAAATTTTTGAGTCCTATTTTAAAATAAATCTAGCTACTACAGTGTTCTTACTTTTACAACAATCAGCTAAGATCAGGTTCTGTAAATCATTTATTTTTTAAATTATAATACAAATCGTGTGATACTAGGTATGTTTAATTTGCCATTAACTTATCAATTCAACTATTTTTAAGCATTGTATATTAATGTGGTAAATAATTGGTCAACTTCCAATTTATTATATTTTAACATTATCATATTCATACCAATTCTTCTATCAGTATTATGAGACAGTAATTTTTTCCTGTAGTTCATTCATTATTTAGCTATAATAGAATAAAACAATACAAAAAAACTTCATAAAATATTCATTACATTCTAAAAAATTATCTTAATCGTGTAACTAAAGAACTTAGTATATAACTTAATATATAACAAACAACTTATTGGGCAGAATATTTTATGCCTATGCGAAAATTTTGATTAAATGCAATAAATATTTGACAAAATAAATATTGAATACAGAGTGATCGATTTATCATAAACCACTCGATAATCGCAAAGTAAAAACAGTATTGGAAAAATGATTTTTAATTTTTTTAGTTACAAATAATTCTATATTTAGAAATTAATAATTATTTTTTAGGATTATCCCTTATAACTTAAAGGGGTATCAACTTTATTTTTCTAAACGGAAATTTATATATTTAACTAGCTTATAAAATAGAAAATAATCTAATTAAGAAAATTACTGGTTAATAACAATTTATGGGACAGTATTTCAGAATTTATTAATAATATAAAGTAATGACTGGATGTGAGGAGTGGTTACTGCTATTTCTATCATTAGTAATTTCCCTGTTGTATTTTTCGTTCCGCCCTAGTATAAAAATGAGAATTTCATCCAAAGTACTATTACAAAAGTTATTATCGACCAGTCATTTTCTTAATTTGATAATTTGATATTTTATAAGTTAATTAAATATGTATGTTACCATTTAAAAAATAAAGTTGACACCCATATATGTTATAAGGGTGATCCTAAAAAGTAATTATTAGCTGGTAAATTAAAAATTATATGTAACAAAATTATATCAAAACACAATTTTTCCAATAATCTATTTATTTTGCGATTCATCTAGTGATTTATTTTAAAACGATGATTGTATATTTCATTAAAAGTAAAAGTAAAAATACAGTTTATATAGAAAACAGAAAGAGCCTAAAAATATATTTTTTAAAAACAAATTTTATTTACTATATGTAAATCAGAAATTAATTACCTATAAATAAATTTTTGTTGCACCATATGTGTTTTGTCTAGTTGCAATAGGACGCAAGTACAAAAAAAAATTTTATTAATTAGAAGTTATAACTAATAATTAACAAAATTTTAAAAAATAATTGACACACACATCCTGTTGCAACTAGATAACAAATACGTTTGAAAAAAGGTTGAATCAATTCGGTCATCAATCCGTAAGCCAAGCTAAAATAAATATAAAAATACAGTGACTGTTACTATGTTTATAATATTAGTTTTTATGCGTTCGTGACAGTTAAGAGTCTGGGAATTTTTACTACAGTATTTCCTTTAAAAACAGTTTTGTGGTTAAGTTATTTGATAACAAAGTCCCAAAAAATATTCTACATTTTCATTACAAGGAAAAGTAGCTATGGAAACTATTTTATATACAAGATGAATCAGTGGCGCTTATATTAAATTTATCAGTATTGCATAATAAAAAAAAACTCACCAAGACATCAACATCTTCAATTTCTTTTTAGTGTTGTTTGTTTATTAAATATTATGAAGATATTTTTTTTCTCAAAATTATAGACATTTATTAGGAGAAGCATTTTCCTTATCAAACAAATGTGGTATATAAATCGATAGCATTACATGTATTAGTGATCGACGCCCTCTGCAGTGAGTGATGAAGATATGACAAATTCAATGACTTTTGATCTTTAATCAATTAGTTGTAATTTATTTTCTAACCTTCTTTGTATTTTTAGACCACGATAATAACACTTTTATCTATTATATATTTCTAATAAAAAAAAGGTTTAATTAATTTTTTTGATTATGTCAAAATTTTAAAATATCCATTTTATAGTCCTTTTCTAAAAAAATGTTGATAGCTTGATAACAGCTTAAGATTAATTACATATGAGTTCAGGGCATACTCTATGTATGAATATCATGTATACTTACCCTTTAAAGGGTAAAATTTAATGATTAAAAATATCACAGTATTAGGTATGTAAATTATTACTTATTCGTAAATTTTGCCAAGAAATATATCGAGAACAACTTTTAAATATTTCATAAATGTGTTATTCTAATATTTTAGACATACCACGTTCAATATCTAATTAATCTTACTAAATAATAATAATAAAAATTATTATCATATACCCTTGATAAAATTTCTCTATCATAATTGATTGAGGTTTTTCTTTGGGTGTAGATCCCGAAATACGTATCAAAAATTTTTTAATAACTTCTGTTGGATTTTGAGTACAATACTTTTAGTTATAAATAAATATTTTTAATATAATTTTAAATTAAAAAAAAATATTAACCACAAGTGATCAATTTTTAGTATACTATTTTACAAGGTAAATAATATATTAATATAATATATATATTAATAACAAGTTATAAAAAATTATCTAAAAAATAAATAGTTATTCCACGATATATTTTCATGAAAACTAAATGACCTGTTTCATTATAATCTTATTTATCTTTAGTAACTGCAATAACAATGAATGCAACAACAACAATAATGATTATACTAAATTTATCAGGTAATATATGTAAACAATATATTGTTGAAAAATCGAGTTGATTCAATACAGTAGTCATTTAATTAATAAAAATTTGCAATATTTAAAATTCAGTATGAACCGCAAACATTTCTTTTTATGTTCTATGATTGTAATTTTTAAAACAGTGTCAGGAGATTTTATAAGAGTGATGGACAGACCAAATCTTGCAGCCGTAGGTTATCAAAAATTAAATCAATCCTATACAATCATTTAGTTAATAAAAATATAAAAACTATAATGCTGTAACTTATAATTGGAATTTCAGGGAAAATATAAATTAGTATTTAAAGCAGTCTTTCCTTGTAATAGAAATAATACTTATCCTATAAATTTAAATTGGTATTTATCAAAAGTTACTGCAACAAAGACCGTATTAAGGGGAAACACTACAGCCTACATTGGATTTGATGAAAATATATATGTAAGTTTCTATATTTAAGCAATTTAATCTGTATCAATTTAAATAAAAATATATAATTTTTGAATTTAGTTCAATATAAATATGGCTATTTGGTCAAAAATTGGTGGATGGGTAGACAATGCATTTGTCTATCAAAACAAAGATGCATGTTCTACTTTAAAAATGTTTATGGGGAAAGTATGGAATGATTTTTGTACAAAAGGGAACTTTAAAGGTTGCCCGATACTACCAGTAAGTGAAAAATAAACATTTTATGTAATTTATGTATTCTAATTTTAAATTATTATGAGAATTAAAATATATTGCAATTCTTTTTAAAAATACATGATCAGATATGATTATAAAAAAAAATAATATTATAGTCATATTTTTATTTATAAATGTTTGTAAAATATGACCAAACGATGCGTTACAAACTTAGTACATAGGTATCGAAGTTTGATATGGTTTCATCAGTCTGTACAGGTTTTCCTCTAAGTACTAGAGTTTAGTTACTTTCTTGGGAAAATATTAAACATAAAATGGTTTAGAATATACTNAGAGTTTAGTTACTTTCTTGGGAAAATATTAAACATAAAATGGTTTAGAATATACTATAATATATAGTTATTGTCACTTTTTAGAAAATTGTTCAATTCCCCAGAGATTATATATGTATTGATATTATTTTTAATATTTCAATAAAATGCATAAAAATGCATTTAAGTTTCAAAATTTTAGTTTATTTAATATATTTTCATTGCAGGGGATTTATATAATGGATGGATTTGATTTGTCATTAATTGAACAATCTAATTTCCCAAAGGAGTTTTTTTACGGAACTTACAAGTTTAAGTTATTTTACACAAATAAAAATAATGAGACGGTTGGTTGTCTGTATTTAGTAATGGATATAAAAAGACCATGGGAATAGATCTTTNTTTACACAAATAAAAATAATGACATGATTGGTTGTCTGTGTTTAGTAATTGATATAAAAAGACCATGGGAATAGATCTTTTATCTAGATTCAATTATAATTATTTTTTGAAACATGTATGATAATAATTTTACATTTATACATTTATATATATATATATATATATATATATATATATATATATTTATTCTAAATACCAAAACTTTAATATATAGATTGGTTTTTCAAGTATAATCATTCAATATTTTTGTAGTTTTTAACATAATTGGGAATAATTTGAAAAAAAAAAAATAATTTTTCTATCCAAAATGTGAGTATTTAAAGTTTTTGTTCATCAATTTTGATTCTCTTTAGCTGAGTATATTTTTATGCCTAAATAATTGAAAAAACATATATAATTATAATTATATACAAGGCCTAATGTATTTATTCAACTAAAACCATGAGTTATGAAAAACCACTGATTATGAGATATGAATTTTAAAATGATTACAGTGTGTCATGTCGCTTAATTTATAATTTCAACAAAAACATTTTATTTATAATATGTACACAAATAATGTATATGTACAGAGGGTTCAATAAGTAAGGTAACAGGTCAATTGTTACAAACAATGAGAACAATAGAAACCCGTTTTCTTACTTTCTGAACACTCTATATACATATTTTAAACTTTAAAAATGGTTTAAATTAAAAGATTTTTTATTTGTTTTTAATGATTAAAACTTTATAAAGTAACCTAAGGCCGCAAATCTAAAAAAAAATTATTGTTTTACGTTTTAGCGTTATTAAATCGTGTTTATTTCAATATTGTATGGAATTGATTGTTTAAAATGTTTTTAATACAAAAGTTACGTTTATTGTAGAGCACTTTAAAACGTTTTATATTGACACTATAATAACGCTTGTAAATGTTACAATTAGTTTGGAATTTTAGTATATGCATTTTTTCCGTTTAAAATTAAAGTCAAAGATGCATTGAATGTAAAAGTAAATAGTTTTTTGTTTCTCCTGAAAATTTTTCAAAATTGAGTTTTTGAGTTGTTTGTCAATTGCTTGTATAGTAGTAATACATATCTAATATGACATTATTGGGGTAGAAAATATTATTATATTGTCATCAAAACGTCGATTGAGCTTAATCATTTGTAACTTAATATAACCTAAGCCGAAGTTCAATGTATTTGGCATAATGGTACGTTTAGACTTATCACAATATATGTATAACGATCCATACACAGAACAAGTTTATCTATATGAAACAAAAGACTAAGAATGAATACGAGTATGGCAAATCTTCATATCTCGCTGTGATTGATGTTTTACTAACATTAATGAAATAGCAAAGTAGATCTATCGGTGAGAACATAGAAGCCACCATAGCCGCAAATATACATGACAAGACACATCTATCGCAAGAGCTACTCAGCAATTGTCGTTGATTATTATTGACAATCTGTAAACGGCTTGTTGCCATCATCAGTACCGTAAACGTGGTATGTGTTATTCATTGTCAAACCTATAAACAGATGTTCTCACAGCCCGTTTGTAGTAATGTTTAAACAACAGATGATTGCGGTTTTCCTTTTTAATCGCTGTAAAATCTGTCACCTCCGGTCTGATGTGATGGACTGCAAGTGCAAAGTTTCCTCTAGTCCCAGTCTAAAAACGGAAGGCACTAAATTTTTCCCAAGTTTGGCATAAATAACCTTTCAAGATTAACTTTACGTACAATAACATGTCTTTCAACCGATTTTGAATTTCATAATTAGCGTAAAACTGATAGTTCTTTTAACGATATAAACTTATAAAATAGATAATATTCATGTACAAATTAATTATCCAACGTGTTCACTTGAGAACCTTGCTAAAACTCATCAAACTATTTCATATATTATACGTGGTTAAACAATTAAAAAATTAAAGATAACTAGAAGGATAAAAGAAAGTCAAAATATCATTAAATTCTTTATGCATTCAACACTTAATACTTAAGATTAATAAATTAATTCCAATTAGAAATGGTTTTTTTTTTTAAATATTGATTAATTTCAACATAAAATATACTGGAAGATCAGTGGTTTTTTGATAAATTTAATATCTTAAATATAGCAAATATTTTGTGTTACTGTTTTTAACAGTTGTGTGCATATCAAGAACATATTTTTCACTATTTATTTTCCATGATAAAACGAGAGCGGAGTATACGTAAACCAGTGCAGTTTGCACCAAGCTGCACTACATACCTAATCAACGTACTTAAATTTTTGTAAATTAATAAGTATTTTTCCTAAAGTTGTTAACGACCTATCAATATGTTTTATAAGAAATAGGTTATTTTAAAATTTCAAAAAAAATTAAAGATAAAAAATTGTATTATTATTTTTTTCTTATTAGTGACACATAAGATGAGAACTTAAAAATCTAAAAAAGACCATATGGAAATACTTTTGCACTTCAATATTTTAAAATATGCTAATATGTGCTCAATATTTTTTTAAGTAGTTTATTTTTAAACAAATTTGACTGCACTGAACAGGACATAATGGAATCACAAATTCGTATCAAGCTAATGAAGCGTTCAAATTGCTCGTAAAACTGAGACTAAATTTTTGACATAAAAATAATAAAATATTTTGTTGTTTTTGAAAACAAATTGTCCCCTATATGCAATTATTTATGAACAACAATATGTTTAAAAATATATCGTTATCGATTAGTGGCCATTCAGTCACATATACAATAACATCATTATGATAGTGGTGGTGTGATGCGTAGTGTTAATTTTCCCAAATCAAAATGCTCCATATTCTTTTCTAACCGAATTTTTTTTTATATTTGTACTAAAAAAATATTCAAATATTAAAAGTCATACTCTAGTGACAAATAATGAAAAATATGTTTTCAACGAAGCCTAAACTGTAAAAACGATTAAAAAAACAATAACACAAAATATTGCGTGGATCAAAAGTTTTGCATAACTTTGTAGAAAAAAGTGTTATTGAATATATTCTACTCGATTACACATCAAAAGATTATTTAAAAAAAAAATCTAGTTGTAATTATCAGCGTTATGTGTTATTATTATTTTTTTTAATTGTTTTTCAGTTTGGACTTTGTTGAAAAAATATTAGGATATAAGAGTCACTAGGGTATGACTTTTATCATTTACATATACTTATGTACAATTATAAAAAAAAATATCCAATATACAATTTACTTTAGTCTTAGTTATAAAGAATAATGTGCCGAAAAATTATAGTTTTCATTAAACAGCCAATGTTGATATTTTTATTTTTCATTTTATACTTGATTTGCTGGAGGTATGACATTTATCACTAATTAATTCAAGGAGGCCTAGAAAACAACAAATTTTTTTTCTTTTCAAATTTTAATAATGTTTTGAAAAACCTACCTTCATTATACTTAATATAAACTACTGTAAGATGAAATTTTTAAAATGACAATTTCTAAGAGCTATTGATCATTATAGAAAAAGAATCACACAACTTTATAAAAAAATTACTGATTTTGTAATATTTTTGATATTAACACAATACTTACATAACTCTAAATTATTTCAAATTAAAGCTTGTTAAATGTATTATATGATTAAAGAAAGAAAACAGTTCCGGTAACTTATTGTCTATTATTAATCACTTCTATTGTTAAAAGTCATGCCATTTTTAGGAGATGTGTTAAATTTATTTTTAAATATGTTTTAAATACGCATCAAAGTGTTTTACGACTGTTATTTTAATCACTGTCAGATAGCAATCAATACTAATCTAAAAACTATTTCCACTTTAATGGATCCCTGCTGTATTTTTTATATATTTATTTACATCATATACACCTTTTCCAACTTTTATCGAACTTACAAAACATATAGGGTTTATTAAGTAAATTTTAGTGACTAATAAAAATAAGTATATTTTTTTCAAAGCCCGCATGTCAGAAATGATTTATAAAAACAATAAATACTATATTAAAGCCAACATAAATAAATCATAAATATTAAAATTACCATTATATGTTGGTTTATGGCTATAAATCATCTATGTTTTAAACAAACTCAAGTTTTAGTTGTAATAAAAATATAGTTACAATTTATAAGAGTTACAAATATGAATAACAATTTATAGAAATTTTAAGGCGTTGTTCAGATATAATTCTTAGTTTTTTTTTCAGGAAGCTCTGGTAGAATCGTGACCAACTATAAGAAACTTTTACGATATAAACTACAATACAACAAATAGTCGTTTTAATTATTATCCTTCTATTTGTTCTCAATGTTGAACCATGAGGGTAGAAACTATGAGTTACCAGTTATTATAAAAAAATTGATTACGATAACCAAATTTTTTTCCCGTATTTAACTACCTACGGGAATCTGAATGGAATGAAACAAATATTAAAATTTTTAATCTCCAACAAAATTAAATTAATACTTAAGTTGTTCTGTAATCGTTTTTAAACAAAATAGTAATAATAATAAGGGTACAGTGAGTTAACAAACTCGTTTATTACTGTCCTCATAAAAATACAGTATTTTGAGTATCTTTGTAAATGGTTATTATTGATATTTTAATGTACTACCACACATTATCATATGAAAGCAAGCGACTGAAAGCCTTGCTGAAAAATTAATGATATAATTAAGTAAAATGAGATCAAAATTTAACGATAAACTAATATTAAAATATAGAGCATAACTATATTTTTCTTCATCAGATAACTCACCAAGGTCACAACGAGTAATTAAAACCGAGCATTTCGGTGTCAAATTACCATTGCAGTATAATTCATGGCAACATTTATTTTGAGTTAATTTCATATTTGACTGCACTGTGGCGAATCTAGACCACCTATACTACGTATTGTATCTACACACACCCGATTTAGATCTTTGACCCGATAAATTTATACGGCTGTTGTGATATCCAAAATGAAAATCAGGACGACGACGGGTGGTAACCGTTTCTTGTATCCTTCTTGCGTACCCATGTCTACTCGTGGAGTCCTTCGAGAGAAATAAAGAGGGTATTATAATGTGTCATTATATTGTGTGTACTACGCTAAGTACATTTTCGAAGTTTTACTCGTATTGAAATCCGTTAGACTCGTAACGCGTGCCCATGTGTGTAGGCGTAGCAGAGCGTTCAAACAGGATATTTTAGACTTATGTGCGAGAGAGACCCACTGCCGGGGAAATTGTAAATAGCTGGCAGCGTTCGACATCGTCGTCGTGTCGTGGACTCGATCAGAGTGATCCTCTAAGGCCAAACTACTCACGCACCAAATATACCCTTCGGCCCCCGTTATCTGATCCTTGCGGTTTCATAAAAATAAAATCATATACATAAATATAGAACAACGTGTGTGTGTACGCGTAGTTTTATAATTTATTATTGGAACGCTTGCTCTTATTGTCTGGTCGCGATAGATTGCGACTACCATTTCGAAGCGGAGCTACTATTCCTACTCAGTCTACGTCCAGTTATTGCCACTATATACACTACTTAACCCGGGAGATCAGGTCACTACCGTCACCGCCTCCCTAGGCGATCGTTTCTTTTTTCATTATTTATATAATGTAGTTTTATATGTGTAATAATAATATTATCATTATCGGGAGGTACTTGTATTGTAATCGAAATATTGTCCATACGTCATTACGCTATGATAATCGTGTTGGTGGCTGCTGGCCTATGTCAAGGCGAGTAAAATTTTCGTGACTAACATAATTTACTTTGGTTTAATGCGATAATACTTGAGTAATAACGATTCTGACGCAAGATAATCGGCAAATATGAGACAATTATGAAATTTACTAAATACGGATTTAAAAGGGTATCATTATCAATAGTAGTAACGCCTTTTACTGTTTTACTTATGCGAATTTTCTTTTTTTTTTTCATGAACAACATAAGAGAAAATAGCAACATTTTGCATGAATTTCATTGTTATACCTCTTCAGAAACGTGTATCAAAGCAGTTTCAATTTACTTCCCGAACCTCGATATGACATGTTCCAACTATTGAACACCGACAAGTATAACGACCTCGGATTAGTAATGGGTTGCATACGGTCAATTGAGATGTGTGTCTTACGCATAGCATTACAGTTCCATTGCTGCCCAGATCTTTATGACGGCAAGGCGCACAGATCGCGTGACAACGAAACTTCGATTGGACATGCCGAGAAAGCTAAGCGTTAGATCGAGAAATTAATCGATGATTCTTCTATGAGTGCCTACGGATAACCATCAACCTGGTATCTTGGCGTTGTCAATCGATAGTTGTTGAGTTTATGTGTTTTGGCCAATTATCAAAGGGTCGCCGAACGCAGTTGTTTACGTGCCCGGAGGTATCTGATTCAATGGATCCGCAAAACAGTAGGAACGTCGTGACTGATAGTACGAGTTGTAACGTCATTTTGAATCTAAACAGTTTAATCTATAGATATGCAAAGGTTTTCAATAGTGGTTAATCTGAGTCATCCCCATTGGTCTCATTTGGTTTCGTATATTTTACAATCGTATCGAACGGTGTTAATTTATAGTGCACCACAAAGTGTTTAACTGTACAAAATATATTATAAAAAATAGATAAATAAACAAAAAGCGTTATAATGTGAGCAATTATAATATTGTATGATTTCAATAGGCGTTATCTTTTACATTAGCTAATTGGTTTCTCATGTACAGTAGCCCTGAATTACGCTAATGACTGGTTCGGAAATGGTACCGACAATTATTATTGTTATATTATACACCCGATAAGGTCAAGGTATGTACTTATGCGTGTATTATATTATTCTACTTTCATACGCTCTTCTGGGTAGACCAGAAGACTTAAATCGAATTGAGCATTTAGATAAAGACTCAGGAGTTACCTCTCTCTCTCCCTCACAGAATCCTTGGTTATTCCCGATAAAATATATAATTGATTCCAATTTATAATGTATGAACTGTGTGAGTATACGTTTGTGCAATCCATTATCAACCCATAATAGTACAAGAGATAGTAGATCCATTGTTGTTTTAAACACACTAGAAAAGAAAATCAAACGGTCACGACATTATATGGTGGCTTTTTATTAATTTAATATTTATTCTTTTTTAATATGAATACACTTATTGATGATTTAACTAGTACGGTTCTCTCACTTTGGATATAATAAATGCAAAATAATGCCCATGGCACTTTTATATCAATATGGTTGATTGTTGTTGAATTACACTTTAAATCTACTATGCATAAGTTACCCACAAACTGTTTCTAAGAAAAACTTATAGAGATCAAATCATTTGACGGCGACATAAATAAATCACGCAAAATTCATTGATATGAAATATAATAGTTAAATGTTCAATGTAAGAATTTTTGAATGTATAATTTCAATGTAAGAAATTATCAAGAATTTTTAAATAATATCGACACATCTATCAAGAAAAACCCTTTGTGGTACGCATGATATTGTTTTGAAGATTGATAAAAAGAATTTAAAAAAAAACGATTTCTAAGTCTATATGAGTTGAAGCCGTAAACGTCAACAGTGTGATTGAAATGGTTGCTTAGAAAGAATTATGTGCATTTATCTCCTTAAACGTCTAAAGTATACAACCATAACAGACAAACTCCTAGACAGTAATCAAACTCACCATAGTTTCACTAGATACAACTTATTTACCGAAGAACTGTGCAATAACAATAAGAACAGCTATACATTTTTTCGATTTATGTTATTTTGAACAAATATGTAATGTAGTTGTAAATTACAATGCAAGTTATATGAATTGAAATAAATAATGTTATGAAACAGCATTAACAATAACAAGTTATACATTTTTAGCAATGTTAAAAATAAAAATCATTTTAAAAAGTGTAAAATAATTTGTTATTAAATGAATTCAAAAGTTGCAGCTAAATCATTAGGTGATCGACATTATTTATTTATTTTGGTTTGATTTTGAACTTGTTAAAATTTTGACTATTTTACTTAAAAATGTGCACAGTTATAAATTGAACAAAGCTTCTACTTACATAGATAAACTACAATATAAAAAAAATATTTTGTATTTTAGACACAATAGAATAATGAGTATACGGTGGTGACGGTAGCAACAAAAACTTACAATTTGTATTTAAATATTTAACATAATGATTATTAACAGTGCTTGCATCTTCATTATTCGTGATCCGTCTTGAGTTTTGTCTCATCCCACGGACACACACTAGTATGAAACAATCTTAATTTTCAAAAAGATAATTACTTCATTATACACGGTCACGCATACCGTTAATAGCATCCAAGGTACGTGATTTTGCTATTACATATACATAATTATGTTTTTTTTTTTTTGAAAACCTTAAAAAGATTTGTAAAAATTAAAATTTCTGTGAATTGTTATTTTTAAAATGTCGTCCGTTTTCATGACAAAATTTTAAAAACATCAAATACAACCAATAAATTAATCATAGTATAGATTATTACATCATATTAGTTTTTTCGCCACAAAGCTGAGCACTTTTAAATAAAAATGACGTTAGACATAGTTATACTACTGCAAAATTATCGCATAAGATTCAAAATATTTATAAAAACAATTACTATTTTAGCATGTTTTTTTTTAAAGATTCAAATGCTTTTGAAATATTTTTATGAATAACATAAAAAAACTAATCGTGTAATTAGCAAGAATGGTGGTAAAATAACCACCGTAACAGACATTTTCATTAAATTGATTGGTTCATTAAGTATCACTTTTACAGATGTTAAATTATGTAATCCAAATAAGGAAATTACGATTTATAGATGATAAATATGAAATAAAATCTAACTAGCCTTGAAGTATATGATCTTGTAACAGATCTTGTTTAATTATTAATATAGTTCTTTCATTACTATTGATAAACCATTCGAATACACGATATGGATGAAAATACTAGATATTAATAAGTTTAACAATGAATCTGTCTCGCACACTTAACGTATTTAAATTACGAGATTATAACTTCTCGTGTACTTGATGATTCACTTCAGTTATTATGTCTAGAATGACTAATATTCACTTTTATTTTTATCTGAAACTGAATTCAATATCAAAATATAGGAAATTATTATTTGCATCGTCAGCAATGTTGAATGAAATAAATTATTTTTATAATAAGACGTATACGATTATTTATAATAAAAGAGTTTATAATGTAAAGACACGAACATCGGCAATGGGTCGGGTAATTCAACAAACTCGTTAACTAAATTATTAAATACTGTGCTTACAGTATTATAGGAAATGTCACTCGCGCAAATGGAATGCATTTCGTATTATTCTAATAAACATATTACTTAATGTAACTTTCAAAAGTTAAACAGGAACCTATATTTATTTTTTTACTATTATATGAAGAAGAGTCTAATAAAATGTTTAACAAGTTTGATTTAACGCAAACAATATTTCTATAAAACGCAATTTACCATTAATAGTTTGCATGGCTATAGACATTGAAAATAAATTAATTTTGTATTTTATTAGTATACACATTAGTAGAATCACTAGTATTTTTTTTATATTATCTTAAATATATTAAGAACACGTGTAAAAATAAATTATTTTCAACAAAATAATATATGCGTGTTATTTGCTTAGGCATTTGTAAAAAATCTTATAATACTAAAATATAAATTTTTAAATATATTACTATTGAATTTTACTTTTAAAATCTTTAAAATGATAAGATGAAGTGAATTTGTTTTCACCTCATGAATTTGCGTTTATAATTACAATATGTACTAAAGATTTAATATTGAACGTTTGGAATGTTATGATATATTACACTGTATAATCAATGAAATGTAATGATCAAATTATCAAAAAATTATACGTATTATTTAATCATATTTTTTCTTAATATCACAGTGAAGGTAATTTTCTTCTTTAGAAGCTTGAGGCCACTGATAAAAAATCTTGTTTATTCATTACTGCGCATTAGGAGTATACTTCGTAACTGATGGGCATATAATTTAAGTATACTTAATTTTAATGAATGTTGTGAAATTTATACCTATATATTTGATTGTCCAGAATACACAAGTGTTTAGGATCACCCAAACAGTACAATTTAATTATAATGTGTTAAAACTATAAAATATCTTTGTATTTAACCCTCAAAAAAATACCATTGAAGTTGTATGATTAAAATGTTTTTAAAGACCCTCTTAATAAAAAAACTAATTAAAAAAATGAACGCAATTTCTGTTAAGTTCTATTTTAACTGGAATTATATGTTTACTTTTGCTAAACAATTTTTTTTTTTTTTTTTTGAGAAATCAGTTTGCTTTAACTAACTTTAATTATAAAATTTTAATTCTAACTTGATTTCTAGTTTAAATTATTACAATTTGAATGTATATCCAACAATTTTTATTATTTTAAATTCCAATAAAAATATGAAATCAATTTTTTATGCTTTCAACTTAATTTATTCTGCAAATAAATAGTTAGTCATTGACATTTTTATTATACTACAATTAATTGTAGTATTATCGTGTTGTAAACATTTGAAAAATTAAATGTTCAGGAATAATTGAGAAATACAACATTTTCTTATTTTATCAAATTATATTTTTGTAGACATTTTTTTAAATAATTTTAGTCATCATAAACTGTTCAAATTACATTTTTTTTTATTTATCACTAACAATAAAAAAAATTATCTTATTTTTCAATATTTTAAAATATTAATTTTTTAGCCCTTTTCTTATAAAAACTTTTGGTTGGTTGATGATAATATTTGAATAAGTATTTATTAAATAGGCCTTTCAATACATAGAATAGATATGAAATACGGGCGGAGTGTACATGTACACAAGTACCGGTTGATCTATCTGTGCTAAATACCCATACAATATATTAAAATTCTTGTAACTCAATAAATACTTGTCCAAACATTTTTATTGACCCATCAAAATTTAAAGTAAGAAAAAGGCTAATAAATAGTCCTTATTATTTGTTATTACTTGGAATTGTCTTTATACATTACAGATTTTGGTATAAGTACATCTGTGACGATAAATATTTTAGGTAAATAGTAACATGACAAAATATAATAAACATTTAATAATTAAAGTTAGTAAAAAATTAAAAATGGTTAATAGTAAAATGTAACAAGTATACGGTTGACATTTGGTAATGAAGTCATCATAATAATATAAACAAATTTCAATCTTAACACTATCAACTATATTAATAAAACTTAGTATTATGAAGTTGTAGACTACAATATGTTAGTATAATGTGGAATTTAAAAAAAAAAGAAGGTATATTTAAATTTGTATTGACGTATTAGAATACATTAATAAAAGTTTATATTAGAAGCTAATAATTATTAGATGCTGATAAAATTTAAGAAAAATAAAAGTATCATATTGTTTTTTTTGAAATAGTCAATAGTCGATGTTTGATCCAAATTTTTCTATTTATGTCAAACTCAAGTGAACTAATTACAATTTAAATATTGAGAACAAGTATACTATAGTTCCTGATAACAATATGGATGATTAAAAAAACATATCCTATAATATCTATTAGAGATGTAAGTACGGGAAGCAAAAGTATATTTTTGCAAACCCTAACATTTTTCAAATTACAATATGTTTAATGATTAATGTTGGTTAATTATTGCTCGATCATGTAATTATTAAATAATTATTTAATAATTCATTATATGTCTTGTTGTTCAATCATATAAAAAAAAAAAATTTTCCTGACTGGGAACCACTTAATAAGGTCGGATTTCGAGGAGGACCTCGAAAGTTCATTAACTCATAAGTCAATAAATTTATTTTTACTCGATATACAAAAAAAAAATGTTGTGTAAAATTCAATGTCAACGATCATTAAGTTTACGATGGAAGTAGGATAAAACTGTTGTAATTTTTTTTCGTCCAACAATGACACGAGTTCTTAAATTACTTTAAACTAAGAAACAACCTTTTTGATTTTAATAGTAAAGTGGATTTTTGTTAGGATGTATTTTTTTGATTCTATGTGAAGAAGAGAGGACACTAATTTTATTCTTCTTCTTCGCCTTAATTCTAACTACTTGGGGTTGGCGTAAAATTTTTGTCAAATAGTATGTGGTGTCCTGAAGATACTAATTTTACTACGATTTTTTTTGTTGGTCATTTATTTTCTAAGCTCTCACTCTCAAAAATCGAAAAAAATTTTCAAATGATAATAAGTCGCTTAACAAAATTTCTCACGTTTAACTACAAAGTTGAATTATTTTACATTTTTATTCATTAATTTTTTAACTCTATTTGTGTGGTCCACTAAAAGTCTATAATCGATCAAATTTTATTTAACATTTCAAAATTACACTACTATTAAAAATAGTGACTTAAAAAAAATGTTTTATTAAATATCTTCACAAATAATACTAGCGAAAATTCATTTTTGTACTGAATTACACAGTGAAATCATATGACTAAAATAAAACATTTATTACTAAGCACAGACTAAAATATACTTTGTTAAATTAGGTTATTGCGTTGATTTCAAATGTTATTTTTTCTATCGCCTATAGTTTGAGATTAATACTAATTAGAATATGAGTATTTAAACATTAATTAAAACTATAGCATAGTGTTGTTAAGGCACAGTTAATAAGAGTATAGATGATATCTGACAGTAATTAAAATCACTATCATAAGAAATGGTCCGATGCAAATCTGTAGATAGTTCTTAATTTTAAGAAATTAAGGGAAGCAACAAAAGCATAATTAATTCCTATTTTCTTCATTATTGCTAATTAGTATTTCTATAATTTAAAAGAATAATATATGAATAAATATCTATTATAGCAATTCAACGTAGTATGAAAATGATATTTAATAATTTAGGATTGTAATTTTTAAAGAGAAATTATAAAAAATTATAAAGTAGTTGTTACTTTTATAGCAAATCGTATACAAATTGAAGGTTAATACAAAACTTTTCATTTGTTTTTTAAAATGAATAAATGAGACCATTTAGGACCAACAATGAATTTTTATCAGAGTTAAAAATATACATTTATAATCCCATTTTTCGTGCTGATTTCCAATTTGCATTTTGATTTTTTCGATCACTTCGAATTAGATTTGTTCCATCAGCACTAACTTTTGATATTATTAATATTTAGTTAAAATCGAGTATTGAAATATAAAAGTTATTACTATGACTTTTAGTTTAACTTACACGTTTGAAATTGACATCATTAAATAAACAGTTACTATTTTTGTATATTTATCAGTAAAGCTCAATTTTTTTTTGCATTTTTGAATAACTTTTGGTGTTTAAAAATATTCTAAAATTGAAATATTTTAATTTTAATGATTTACTTTAGCTTTAATTATAAAAATTATAAAA